GCATTCTTCCCACTGGCCACCAATGTAAGGAGCAGGGGCGGACTGACAACTCATGGGGCCCCCGGGCAATAGGGGATCATGGGGCCCCTGTGTCTTTGCCAAAACTCAAAAAAGCCTATGAAAAAGGTACCAGGGGCATCTCATGGGGCCCCTTCTGACCCCAGGCCCTCGGGCAGTGCCCGAGTTTCCAAATGGTCAGTCCGCCCCTGGTAAGGAGCATTCTTCCCACTGATCACCAATGTGAGGAGCATTCTTCCCACTGATCACCAATGTAAGAGCATTCTTCTCACTGATCACCAATGTAAGGAGCATTCTTCTCACTGACTACCAATGTAAGGAGTATTCTTCTCACTGACTACCAATGTAAGGAGTATTCTTCTCACTGGCCACCAATGTAAGGAGCATTCTTCCCACTGATCACCAATGTGAGGAGCATTCTTCCCACTGATCACCAATGTAAGGAGCATTCTTCTCACTGATCACCAATGTAAGGAGCATTCTTCTCACTGGCCACCAATGTAAGGAACATTCTTCTCACTGACTACCAATGTAAGGAGTATTCTTCTCACTGGCCACCAATGTAAGGTGCATTCTTCTCACTGGCCACCAATGTAAGGTGCATTCTTCTTACTGGCCACCAATATAAGGTGCATTCTTCTCATTGGCCACCAATGTAAGGGACATTCCCACTGATCACCAATGTAAGTTTGGAGTTCACATGCACGTAAAGTGCTTTTCATAGTTATAGCTGTGAAACTACTACGGGTCAAGGGACTCCTAGCAACCTCGAGGAACTCTAATTGAGAAAAGCTGCTCTAAAAGTTTATTTCCCTTAATTTATAACCAGTTTCAGAACTATCTAACTTAAAAGAGTATTATTCAGCCTCAGCTCAGAGTCTGAAATGCTCACGTCATCCTCTATTGAGTCCACATGTACTCTAAGTGCTTTTCATAGTAGTAGCTGTGAAGCGACTACTGCTCAAGGAACCCTTTGCAACCTTTGGAGGCACCCTGGGTGAGGAACACTGCTCTAGAAGTTTATCTCCCTAATTCATAACCAGTTGCTAAACCATACACTATATGCCGAAAGAGTAAAACACCACCTATGCTCAGTGGTGTATTTAGGTTTTGTGCTGCCCTAGGCAACACAAAGATCGTCTGCCCCCATGGACATGAACCAACACCCCCCTTCCCCCTCCTGTAGAGAGAGCCTGACAATGACAATGACCAACAACACCCCTGACCCCCATCTGGGACAGCCTTTCACTAACCCTCCCCCCCCCAGCCATAGAGAGAAAGACACTCATCTTTTCAGCTCCGGACATCCCTAGGAATGAGAATCAGGCTCTACATACACCATCAAGCAGCCCACTTCTCTTGGATCCCACCTGGTTCCCATGGCGCGCATGTCCCTTCTTCCATCCCTTCTTCTGGGGGCAGGTGCTGCCCCCCTGAAAAATTCCGCCCTAGGCAAGTGCTTTGTTTGCCTTGTGGTAAATACGCCCCTGCCTAGGCTCAGAATCTATAAAACACGTTCCTTCCTCTAATGCGCACTCAAAGTACTTTTCACAGTAGTAGCTGAGAAACGACGTGTAGATATCACAATGACAAAACACATAAATGTTGTGGAAAACAGATCACACAGTTAGCTTCTCCTCACCTTCCTTTCAATTTTTAGGCGAAATTCATTTGCAACTGAAAAATTATTTATCTCAGTGATACTTTTTTTTAATTTTATCAACCCCACAAGTCTTGGTGTAAGTGGTAATTAACGATCATTGTTCCTGTCTGCTGACGTCTTCACGGTAAAAAAGTGGTAATTAATGTGGAATAAATATGTGAATTTTTCTCCACTAAACCAATTTTCGCCCATCAAAAAAATCTTCCCGTTAGTGGTTGAAATGTAAAAATTCACACGATCGTGTACCAGACATCGAGTTTAAATGCAGCGACAACCTTGGACCTAAGTACCTGTCACTGAGCCTTCTTTCCGGATCGTCACATTCGATGTTCTTCGATCCTTTGTAGATTAGGAGAGCGGCTACAATCAGCTGAAGGATGACGGAGATACACTGTGAAGACCCAAACAATATAATAGCTCAAACCGGAAATGGAAACTTGACTTAAAAAATTACAGTTTACAAGTTCATAAACTGATGTTTCCTGACACATTTTTTTTCATTAGTGGTATTAAAGAATATGTAACCCAAACATTTCATACATCTCAATATTTCCAGATATGTGCCTGCTATACCATGTACTTGTATGGGAATACTGTTTACTGTTGTGTTATTCCTTTGTGTGAAATCCCTTTCCAGCTTCCAGGGGCATCAGCCAGGCATGGTATATTCAGGGCTTCTTTCAGCGGAAACTCTGGGGAATGCAGTTCCCGCACCTCCAGCACTGAATGTGTGCAGTGTAAAGGGGTTCTGGGGTGTGCTGGAGGGTCTATTGGTGCTAGCGTTTCGGGAATCTATTGTCACAGGGGGGGATCTATTGTTGCTGGGAGGGATCTACTGTTTATTTGGGTTTATTTTTGCTTACTCTTGGAGGTTCTATTAATGCTGGCTGCTAGGAGATCTATTGTTGCTTGGGGTTCTATTATTGCTGGGGGTGATCTATTGTTGCTGGGAGTGATCTAGTGTTTCATGGGGTTGTTGCAGGTGCATGTGTCTATTTTTGCTGGGGGTGATCTATTGTTGCTGGGAGAGATCTACTGGTTATTGGGGTTTATTGTTGCAGGCTGCTGGAGGGTATGTTGATGCTGGTTGCTGGGAGATCTATTGTTGCTAGCTGGGGTCCATTGTTGTGGGGGGGGTGTTTTTGCTGGGATGATCTATTGTTGCTGGGAGTGGTCTACTGTTTCATGGGGTTGTTGTGGGTGTGTGTGTCTATTTTTGCTGGGGGTGATCTATTGTTGCTGGGAGGGATCTACTGGTTATTGGGGTTTATTGTTGCTGGTTGCTGGAGAGTCAATTGATGTTGGTTTCTGGGAAATCTGTTGCTGTTGGCAGGGGTCTATATTTGCTGGGTTGTATCTATTGTTGCAGGGGGTTCTATTATTGCTAGGGGTGATCTGTTGTTGCTAGGAGTGATCTACTGTTTCATGGGGTTTATTGTTGTTGGCTGCTGGAGGGTCTATTGATGCTGGCTGCTGGGAGATCTTTTGTTGTTGGCAGAGGTCTATTATTGCTTTGTTAGATCTATTGTTGCAGGGGGTCAATTATTGTTGGGAGTGATCTATTATTACTGGGAGAGATCTACTGTTTATTTTGGTTTATTGTTGCTGACTGCTGGGAGATCTATTCTTGTTTGCTTCTGGAGGGTCTATTGATGCTGGCTGCTGGGAAATCGTTTGTTGTTGGCAGAGGTCTCTTTTTGCTTTGTTAGATCTATTGTTTCAGGGGCTCTTTATTGTTGGGAGTGATCTATTATTACTGGGGGGATCTACTGTTTATTTTGGTTTATTGTTGCTGACAGATCTATTCTTGTTTGCTTCTGGAGGGTCCATTGATGCTGGCTGCTGAGAGATCTTTTCTTATTGGCAGAGGTCTATTGTTGCTTTGTTAGATCTATTGCTGCAGGGGGTCTATTATTTTTGGGGGTGATCCATTATTGCTGGGAGAGATCTACTGTTTATTTGGGTTTATTGTTGCTGACTGCTTTGAGATCTATTGTTGCGGGTGGGGTCTTTTTTGTTGATTTCAATCTATTTGTGTGAGAGAAGGGAGGTCTATTATTGCTGGGTGTGATCTATTGTTGCTGGGGCATGTATAATGTTCCTGGCTGAAGATCTATGCTACTAATTTTCTTGTTATCATTCAAAGTACTTAGCGCCATAAAATGATACTTGGTTCTGTATTCTCTGAATGGGGCAAAACTGGGAGGTGCGTAAGGAGTTGAACCAAGGGACGGTGCTCGGAGGTGGGTAGGGGGAGGAGAAAAGGGGTGACTCAGAAGTACCCAGGGACGGACTGACAACTCATGGGGCCCCCTGGCAATAGGGGATCATGAGGCCCCTGTGTCCTCGCCCACACTCAAACCACACCAAAAAAAGCCTATGAAAGGTACCAGGGGCATCTCATGGGGCCCCCTAATGACCCTGGGCCCTCGGGCAGTGCCTGAGCACCAGAATGGTCAGTACGCCCCTGGAAGTACCTTTGAGAAAAAAAAAGCCCTGGGTACATACAGTACATAGGTCCAGGCTGGACAAATGTAACTATGTATAAACCACCCATACCTGGAATTCCTCTTTAAACTCAACCTGACCCAATATAACCCCAAACCCAATCATAATAATTATCTCAATGGAAACTGCACCATGTCTCTATATAAAGCTGTAATTAGAAAGAAAATAATAAACCCCAGAATGCAATGCTCAGAACCTTGTGCACCTAATACATTTTCAGCCCTAATTATTCTGCAGAAAACTATTGATCTGTGATGTATATTTTTTTTTCATAGTTGATGCAGTCTTTGTCAATCCATGAGCAGACTAGCGTGTTCCCGAAACATACACCAAAATCTTGATGTTGCCGCCACACTTTGAAGTTGTACTACACCGAATTCCGATGTGGACCATTAGACTTCCCGACTGTGAAACCGAAAACGAGATGCAGACAGAGTTAAAGATTCTCCTGCGGTTTATTTGTGGTGGAAAATTTTTGTGCGCTCCTCCTTTTATATCGCTGCATTGTTTCCGAGCTCGGCGCTATCACCGAACCTATTGTGTTACGTGACTGGCACATGTCAATCATCCTTAATTATTCGGTTTTATGAAGGGACACCTCAGTCTCAGCAACCTTGTAAGAGAATAATTAAGTCACACAATACCTTTTCTGTGAACAAAACACGAGTTTTTTTATTTATGGAACGCTGACATCACGCTGAATAGATCAGCGCCAACCGCTTACCAACCGTTGATTATTTGCTTGTATTTTGACAGTTAAAGCTGAACCCGGAGCAGATATAAAAGACACAAATAAATGCAGCTCTGTAATCCTAAATACACTATACTGACAAAGGTATTGGGCCCGCCCTCCCAATCATGTGTGTGATAAAGGTGTTCCAATCACCTCCCAATCATGTGTGTGATGTGATTCAGGTGTTCCAATCACCTTCCAATCATGTGATTCAGGTGTTCCAATCACCTCCCAATCATGTGATTCAGGTGTTTCCAATCCCCTCCCAATCATGTGATTCAGGTGTTCCAATCCCCTCCCAATCATGTGATTCAGGTGTTCCAATCACCTCCCAATCATGTGATTCAGGTGTTCCAATCCCCTCCCAATCATGTGATTCAGGTGTTCCAATCCCCTCCCAATCATGTGATTCAGGTGTTCCAATCCCCTCCATATCATGTGATTCAGGTGTTCCAATCACCTCCCAATCATGTGATTCAGGTGTTCCAATCACCTCCCAATCATGTGATTCAGGTGTTCCAATCACCTCCCAATCATGTGATTCAGGTGTTCCAATCCCCTCCCAATCATGTGATTCAGGTGTTCCAATCCCCTCCCAATCATGTGATTCAGGTGTTGCAATCCCCTCCCAATCATGTGATTCAGGTGTTCCAATCACCTCCCAATCATGTGATTCAGGTGTTCCAATCCCCTTCATATCATGTGATTCAGGTGTTCCAATCCCTTCCATGGCCACAGGTGTATACAATCAAGCCCCTAGGCATGCAGACTGCTTCTACAAACATTGGTGAAAGAATGGGTCGCTCTCAGGAGCTCAGTGACTCCAAGCGTGGTCCCGTGATAGCTGGCCAGCTGTGCAATAAGTCCATCCGTGACATTTCCTGGCTACTAAATATTCCACGCTCAACTGTTAGTGGGATTATAACAAAGTGGAAGCAGCTGGGAGCAACAGCAACTCAGCCACCAAGTGGTAGGCCACATCACATGACAGGGCGGGGTCAGTGCATGCTGAAGCGCAGTGTGCAGAGGTCGTCAAGTTTCTGCAGAGTCAATAGCTAAAGACCTCCAAACTTGGTGTGGCCTTCAGATGAGCACAACAACAGTGCGTAGAGAGCTTCATGGAATGGGTTTCCATGGCCGAGCAGCTGCATCCAAGCCTTACATCACCAAGTGCAATGCAAAGTATCGGATGTCGTGGTGTAAAGCACGCTGCCACTGGACTCTAGAGCAGTGGAGACGTGTTCTCTGGAGTGAGGAATCATGCTTCTCTGTCTGGCAATCCAATTGATGTGTCTGGGTTTGGTGGTTGCCAGGAGAAGGATACTTGCCTGACTGCATTGTGCCAAGTGTGAAGTTTGATGGAGGGGGGATTATAGTGTGGGGTTGTTTTTCAGGGGTTGGGCTTATGAAGGGAACTCTTAAGGTGTCAGCATACCAAGACATTTTGGAGAACTTCATGCTCCCAACTTTGTGGGAAGAGTTTGGGGATGGCCCCTTCCTGTTCCAACATGACTGCCCACCAGTGCACAAAGCAAGGTCCATAAAGACATGGAGGAGCCAGTTTGAGGTGAAGGAACTTGACTGGCCTGCACAGAGTCCTGACCTCAACCCCATAGAACACCTTTGGGATGAATTAGAGCAGAGACTGTGAGCCAGGCCTCCTCCCCCGACATCAGTGCCTGACCTGACAAATGTGCTTCTGGAAGAATGGTCCAACCTTCCCATAGACACCCTCCTAAACCTTGTGGACGGCCTTCCCAGAAGAGTTGAAGCTGTTATAGCTGCAAAGGGTGGGGCCAACTCAATATTGAACCCTATGGACTAAGACTGGGAGGTCATTAAAGGTCATGTGCGTGTAAAGGCCGGCATCCTAATACGTTTGCCAATATTGTGTACATCATTAAAATCATTTTTTTAAAGGCAAACAACATATGTACCTGAAATTGACCTGGTATCAGCCCCTGCCTGTACAGGAGGGCTGGAGAGTGAGAGTAAGAAGCAGAACAAAGGACTAAGCAGTTTATGTGCTGACAAGGAGCATGCTGATGGGAGGAGAGAGCAGAGTGACTTCTGTGCTGTTTCTCATTTTACTGTACAGGCTGGGGCAGGCCTGAGATCTTAGGGATTCCTGCCTCTGACTGCTGGTCTCATCAGATTTGGTGATGTCACTACTGTGCCGCTCACTGTTCTCCTTGCTGGAGCCTTGGCTCTGAGGAAGCATAACTTTGCCTCTACCAAGATGGCTGTCTTCATAAGGCAGAAAAAGCAGTCGGTCAGTGCTGGGCAAAGATCAACTGCAGGGTTCAGCAGGCAATACTGATGACTAGTTATTTGCCCTCTACCTGAAATATTAGGCCACAACTTCTAGAACTTGGATAGGGGTAAGGAATGTATGGGATGCCCAAAGAGAACGGCAACTAAGGACAATCTCCCTGGAACTATGTACAAGTCTCTTTAACAGCAATAATTCTCTTCTGGAGAGCTAGCCAGCATCTCCTGGTATACCCCCCCAGACCCCCGATGAATCCTCTCCTCATCCAGCTGTACTGAGTGAATCTCTGGGCAGGGGATCCAGTGCCTATCACTTTAAATAGAAGGCAGTCCTGGGAAGCAAGCTAATCTATTTTCCCACCAGAGTGCTCCTTCCCCTTTCTGGCCCAGGGGGTGCAGGGCTACTCACTAGTCCGCTATCTGTGTGCGGATGGGTAGGTCGCTGCTCTCAGGCCTTCTGCTGGGCTGCTCCTTCCTGGCTGCACAGATGGTCTTCACTCTGGGAGGGGGGTTGATTAAGTCCCAAGCTTTCCTCCTTTCCAGCTCCTCTGCCTGTAGGTGAGCCGCTTCCCCTCTGGACCCCCTCCCAGGCTTCTGCTCTCCAGCCTCTCACTTCATCTTCCACCTGAATTCTCCACCACTTTTGAAGGCTGCTTTGGCCCCATTCCAAGCCTCCTACTTGGGGATTGGCCAAGGTCCTCCAAGTGTGCAGGTCAGCTCCTTCTCACCCCCGCCCACTGCTTCTAGAATCTTCTCCAAGATTCTAGAGCAGGGGGGGGTATCATGGAACTAGCCTGCAGAGCCTCTCAGCTTTGACTGAAATTTGACCCAACAAGCTATCACACCCAGGCTGCTACTCAGCCCTCCTAACTAAAATGTAAACTCTTGCTCCCCCTGGCTATCTGGAAGGACACTACAATAGGTTGCTGGGAGACAGTGGCAAGGGGTTAAGAGTAACCAGGAATCCCAAAACAAGGGTGCGCTCTGTTCTCCAAATTCTAATCAGGCATTGCATGGTTGTGCTCTTGCCCACCTCATTCCATCTCCAGGCCACATAGTTTCATAGGCAGCCTCACTAGCCAATAGGCTAGTTTTTATCTAAACTTCTCATGTATGGGGGACTCTGATAAGGATCATAATGTAGAGAGAGACACTGATAAGGACACTATAAGTGAGACCCTGATGTAAGGGAGACCTCAATGCATGAAGGATTTTGACGTGGGGGAACTCTGATGTAAGGGGAGACTCAGGTGTAAGGGGGCACTCTGATGTAAGGTGAACGTTGATGGGGACTCTGATATAAATTGGGACACTGATAGGGACTCTCATGTAAGAGGGACTCTGACTTAAGAGGGACTCCATTGTAAAGTGTTTTTGATGGAGACTTTGATGTATGGGGACACGGATAGTGACCCTTGTGTAAGATGGACTCCAGTGTAAGGTGGGCTTTGATGGGGACTCTGATATAAGAGGGAAGCCTGATGTAAGGAGGACTTGATGGAGACTCCAATGTAAAGAGGGACACTGATAGGGACTCTCATGTAAGGAGGACTCCATTGTAAAGTGACTTTGATGGAGACTTTGATGCACGGGGACACTGATAGTGACTCTCATGTAAGGGGGGGGGCATTTTTGGGAACTCTGATGTAAAGAGGGACTCTGAATTGGACTCTCATGTAAGGGGTACTCTGATGTAAGGGTGATTTTGATGGAGATGGAGACTTTGATGTTTGGGAACTCTAATGTAGGTGGGATTTAACCACTTGCCTACCGGGCACTTTTACCCCCTTCCTGTCCAGGCCAATTTTCAGCTTTCAGCGCTGTCGCACTTTGAATGACAATTGTGCGGGTCATGCAACACTGTACCCATATGACATTTTTATCATTTTTTTAGACATATAGAGCTTTCTTTTGGTGTTAATCACCACTGGGGTTTTTATTTTTTGCTAAACAAATGGAAAAAAATAAAAATGTAAAAAAAAAAAATTTTTTTTTTCTTAGTTTCTGTTCGAAAATTTTAAAAACAGGTAATTATTTTTCTTCACTGATGGGCACTGATGAGGCTGCACTGATGGACACTGATATGCATCACTAATGGGCACTGATAGGCTGCACTGATGAGTACTGATGAGGAGGCACTGATGAGGCTACACTGATAGGCAGCACAGATTGGTACTGATAGGCTGCACTGATGAGCACTAATGAGGAGGCACTGATGGGCACCGATAGGCAGCACTGAAGGTCACTGATAGGTGGCATTGATGGGCACTGATAGGTGGCACTTATGGGCACCAATAGGCAGCACTGAAGGTCACTGATAGGCGTTGATGGACACTGACTGTTGGCACTGATGATCACTGACTGGTGGCATTGATGGACAGTGACTGGCGGCACTGTTGATCACTGACTGGTGGCACTGATGATCACTGACTGGTGGCATTGATTGACACTGACTGGCGGCACTCATGGACACTGGCAGCATTGATGGACACTGACTGGCATCACTGATGGACACAGACTGGCAGCACTGATGGACACTGTTGGGACTGCACTGACTGACACTGTTGGGGCTGCACTGGACTGTCTTTGATTCTTAAATATATTTGCCGATTACTGGCTCTTCTCTTTCCTCACGCTGTGACATCGTGAGGAAAGTGCAGCCGATAACCGGCAAATGTATTTGCTTTGTGATCAGCTGTGTCATTGGACACAACTGATCAAGTGGTAAAAGGGCACTGTGATTGGCCGTATACCATGTCATGTGATCAGATGTGTCAGACAGACACAGAGCTCCCCGGGTGCGCTCCCCAAGAGGTACGGTTTTGGAGAATGACATATGACGCCCTCCCAGAACTAGACGACCATGCTGTAGCTGTCATTCGGCCATAGCCTGCTCATCAAGTGGTTAAGGAGGCTCTGATGAGACGCTGATGTAAGGGGGAACTGATGGGCTCCAGTTTTTTGGAATCTATTTGCTTTGTTTTCTGAAGAAGTCTTTTTTTCTGATGTTCTAAATCATAATCATAGTTACATAGTTAGTCTGGCTGAAAAAAGACAAAGTCCATCCAGTTCAACCATAAAAAAAAAAAAAAAAGTTATAATCCTATACCCACAGTTGATCCAGAGGAAGGCAAAAAAGCCCAGCAAAGCACGATCCAATTTGCTCCTGCTGGGAAAAAATTCCTTCCTGATCCCCCGAGAGGCAATCGGATATTCCTTGGATCAACTTTACCTATAAATCATAATCATACTGATTAAAAAAAATTAAATCAAACAAACTGAAACATAAACTGTGAATATCTGTAAAATATATGATATGGCCATCATACTAAATAGTTTGGAGACCTCAGATCCAAAGGGCAAGGATTCCAACCTAGATGGATCATCTACTTGGGACTAGAAGGGCCTTTAGATGTTCACCGGGGCATTGGCTGTTTGGCCAGATGGACACGGCGATCACAGAGCTCTCCCGGTGCACACC